GGAGGCCCGGGATGGCAGGAGGGTCGGGTCGGGGGAGGCCCGGGATCTCCGGAGGGTCGGGGGAGGCCCGGGATGGCAGGAGGGTCGGGTCGAGGGAGGCGCGGGATCGCAGGAGGGTTGGGGTCGGGGGAGGCCCAGGGCTCGGCCTACCCCAGCCGGGCGGTGGCCTCTTCCTCGGTCTGCAGACTGTAGCTCTGAGGAATCATTCTCCTTTTGCTCGAAAAAAGGCTTATACCATTTCAGAATATACTCTCGTACTCAGTGTTTTTCAAATTTTTGTCGTATAAAAATTATAAGAGGACTTTGAAACAAAGTGTAGATTTCCCAGGTTCACGCCCGCACGTTCTGAACTAGTAGGTTGAGGCCCAGAAATCTCTATTTTAAACCAACGCCTCCTACCCAGTGATGCTGACCCAGGCAGCTCAGGTGCAACACCTTGAGAACCATGTGTCTATCATCTGCTGGGGCTTTCCAGCAATTTGGTGTGAGAGGTGTTGATATACTCTCCGTTTTATGGATGAAGTCACTGAGGCCCCAAGAAATTGTGGTGCAACTAGCCAGGACTTGAACCCAAATTGTGTGCTTTTTATGGTTGGGATGCAGTGATACAAAAGGTTTCTACCCTTAAGATTTGAAAGGAAGCATGGGATTTGTAGGGCTTACATGCTTTTAAACATTTCTGGGGCACTTTGATTGCAGGAAGGTGTGTATTAGAAGGACCACAGACACTTCCAGCCCATTGGTGGGGGCGGGGGGGCTCAGGCACAAAGGAGGAGGACCCTCCAGAGTCAGTGTCTGTGGTCACCCAGTCTCCAAGTCTGGGGTAATCTGGATTCTGTTTTCACTGCTTCAAAGCAGCTGTTTTGTTCTTTTTGTGTGTATGAAGAAGATTAGCCCTGAGTTAACGTCTGTTGCCAATCCTCCTCTTTTTGCTGAGGAAGATTGGCCCTGTGCTAACATCTGTGCCCATCTTCCTCTACTTTATATGTGGGATGCCACCACAGCATGGCTTGAAGAGCGGTGCGTAGTTCCGCCCCTGGGATCTGAACCCAAGAACACTAGGCTGCTGAAACGGAGCGTGCAAACTTAACTCCTACACCACCGGGCTGGCCCCAGCTGTTTTGTTCCTGAGAGTGGTTTTCTGGCAGGATCTAAAACAATTCCTGTTGCTATATTGTTGAAATTTTCTGCTTCTTTTGGGTCTTTTTTTGATACTTAGCATTCTTTACCATGGCTTCTGTTTTCTGCTCTGTGTTGCTGCTTTTCTGTGATGGAACTTTTGGTGCCAACTTGCCTAACTCGGATTCTTTTTCTGTTTCCCTGCCCATGTATACTGAAGACCCCCAGTTCCATGCCAGTTTCAGAGGATTAATACAACTGCAGTACTACAGGGACATGTCTGCTTGCCTCTGTTAAAACAACATGTCTTCCAGCTGATCATGTTGTTTTTCTCGTAAGGCCTCCTCACTTCCATCCTTCCTGCCTCATGATTACGAGACCCCAAGCTTAAAACCTTCAAATGGTTTCCCAGCGTCTCTGGCCCTTGTCTGCAGGCTCTCATGTGAATGCGATTCTTCCTTTGTCTAATTACAGTTCTACTCTAAGCTCTATCTCTTTTTAGTTTTACTGCAGGGGCTTCCTTATTTTTCTCCAAGGGATTATTTTGACCAAATCACTCTATCAAGATAATAGTAGCAAGTAATACTGTGCACCAGGCATTGTGCTAAGTGCTTTACACAACGTAACTCGTTTAACCATCACAGGGAATCTTGAGTTTATAGATGAGGCCCAGTGCAGTAAGGAACTTGCCTGAGTTCACACACCTTGTAAGTGGTGGAGCTAGGATCCCAGCAGGGCAGTCCACTCCCGAGTCGGGGGCTTCACTCTTCGCTGTGGCTCTCAGTGCAGTGTCAGAAGTTTATAGATCTGCAGGAGCCCAGCTGTGGACTCTGAGTCAGGATCCTGCTCTGATGGCTCCTTCTGTGGCATTCCTGATCAGAGGCTTCTTGTCATCCCCTCTTCCTCTGGCTGGACCGGTGTCACCTGTGACTGTTCCATCTGGCCACATCTCTCTGTCGGGCCCATGAATCTCCTCTTCCCTCTCAGTCTTTGTATGAAAAATGGCACAAGCCATTTCCCATTTCCTTGTCTTGGCTGAGTGTTGCCCTCCATTCCTTCCAGAGTGCCCTGGGCTCGTACCGTGGAGGAGGCCCAGCATTCACTGCGGATGTGTGTCACATTGCGGTGTGTGGCGTGTGGCTGCAGCCATCACTGGCTGTTCATCTGCCGAACAGTGTTTGCTGCTTGTGTTTTTCCAGTGCAGTTTTTGTTTGCCCTGTTTCTTGGAAGTTGGTGAGGCTTTGAGAGCAGGAGCTGCCTTCTGCTTCTCCACTGTGTCCCGAATCATACTTTGACCAAAACATTAAGTTGACTGTAGCCTGTAGAAAACTCCCCAGAAGTCTGGAAGTGGGCTGTGGGTGAGCTAGGTAGCAAACATGTGGTTTGAATGGTCATGATGATTTGTAATTATCTGTATTTGTGTTCATTTGCAAAGCATTTATTATTTGTTACTAAGGTTGGGAGGGAAAGGAATGAAACCAAGAAGCAATGTCTCCTTAGTGTATAAGCTCAGAGGTCACTTTCATTGTGTTGGGGACAAAGTGACGGGAATAGGTAATATTTGTTGTGTCTCTTAGTGTTCAGGAATTCATGACCTTCACAAGTCAACTGATTGTGGAGCGCTCAGCGAAAGGCAGCAGAGCTTCTGTGAAAGAACAAGGTAAGAGGACCTGCCAACTTGCGAGTTGTGTGCTGGCGTTGCTGCCACACCTCAGGCAGCTGGCAGCTCTCTCGACTCAAGCCGTCACCTCATGATGGAAAGGGCTGCCAGGACCCTACTCCTCTGCTACCTTGTTCTCTCTTCCTTCCTCCTCCTCTTTACACAGAATTCTGTACCCACTGTGGTATCTAAGCTATGTAGTTAAAATCGCCCCCAAAGCTTGGACTTGCTTAATATTAGGGTCCAACTCTCTTGGAGTGATAAGCAACCTTTATGTGTATCCTCTTCCTCTCCAGATTTGTAGACATCTCAAAAAAGGATTTCCAGCTAGCTAGCCCTGTTGAGGCAGTACTGCATTCTGTGCTCCTTAGATTTTTGACTAGGAATCTGAAAACTCATTATTTTTTACTCTTGACCATTATTTTTTCTTCATAATTCAAGTTTCCTGTAGGAATTTTTAGGCATTTATTTGAATAGAGGTGTATATTATACAGACAGATCAGGGAAGGTGTACGTGAGCTTCCTCAGGCAGAAAACAAGGACTCTCACGTGTGGCGCTGACGTTGGGTCCCGTGATGTGGAGGTAGCGCGCGGATGATGCAGGCGGTATCGAATGTATGTGTTCTGTGCGGGATCCCTGTACCGCTCACGTCCCGCAAGTCACATTGGATCATGAACATTTAAATATTCTCAGTTCTCCTCCGGCTGTGTCTGCCTTCCCAACTTTATTATTTAAAGACATTTCCTCAGATGCTGACCCACTTGTCAGGTGCTCTACAGTGTGCACTTTGACTCCACGTTTGAATCTTATTAGGGAATGTAGACAAAGTAGAGTGTCGGTGATGACCCCCTGTCCCTCTCCTTGTCCCTGCTCTCATTTATCTCTGCCCTTTTCTGATTTCAGGGGCCCACAGTCTCTCCCTCTCCTCTTTAATTTGTTTTTCCTTGTTTAGCATTGGAATCTTCTGGGTGAGAGTCTTTTTTGTGTATGTGAGGAAGATCAGCCCTGAGCTAACATCCATGCCAATCCTCCTCTTTTTGCTGAGGAAGACCGGCCCTGAGCTAACATCCCTGCCGATCTTCCTCCACTTTATGTGGGACGCTGCCACAGCATGGCCTGACAAGCGGTGCATCTGTGCGCGCCCGGGATCCGAACCCAAGCCACCGGTAGCAGAGCGCGCACACTTAACCGCAAAGCCACGGGGCCGGCCCCCAAGTGAGAGTCTTAGGGACAAGAAGGTTCTTATTCGTCAGCTGTAGTCCTGAGGTTCCTTTTACCTTGGGGATATGGTTAGCTGTATCATCTCTGAATCCTTTCAAAGTGACAGAAATTAATCCCCTGGATTGTGACTGTTTTGCAGAAGCCCTTGTACAGACTGTACCTTTTGATAATTTGGTGACTTCAGCACAGTAATACTGGAGACCTCAGCCAGCAGTGGCTAATTTTTTTCTAGATGGGCCTTCTCTCCCCTCTTGCTCCCCGCCCCGGCCCACCACAGAATGCAGTAGGCCAGGCAGGGTTGCTGTAATAAGGAAACCTGAGGCCCATAGAGGTGATTTCCTGACTTGGGGTTACACTTACAGAGTTTTTTAAGAAAGTGGAGGCTGCGTGGCTTGTCCAGGGTTCCCTCAGTCTGGGAACAGAGCAGAGCCTCAGAGAGCTGCCAGGACTGTCCTGGAGCTCAAGGGTGTGAGGTGGAAATGCACCTGGGGCTGTGTTGCCTGGGATGTTTTCTGCACCACAGGCGGCTCCTTTGGGCCCTGGCTTTGCCTGCTGGGCCTCTGAGGGCGTCCTTGTCCTGAAGCAGGTGTTGGGCCACGCTGACGGCAGAGCTTCCATAGCGCTGTCCTCTGAGTCCATTGGGCTGTGATGCAGAGCCTCTCCACAAACCTCCCTCAGGGTGGCTTCATTGACCCAAAAGGCAGGAGCCCAGCCTTGTGATGCTTTGACTGATTTGGGCAGTGAAAAAGTCTAAAGCCCTCATGTCGCCGTCCGTGTGTCTGACCTCTCACCTTCTTAGAATATCTGTGCCATGTCTACGTGCGAACTGACAGTCTTGCAGGAGTGGTCATTGCTGACAGTGAATATCCATCCCGTGTGGCTTTTACCCTGCTGGAGAAGGTGAGTTTGCAATTTGTCTGGACTGGACCGGGATGGATGAGTGTGGGCTGGAGCCAGGGGTGGCGACAATGCCTGAGTATAAGAGATGAAATAGTGTGTCCAAAATCAACCCGTTTTCAGCTTTTCTCCTTACACTACCAAGAGACAGTCGGGCATCCCTTCCCAGGTTCTCTCCCTGGTGCCGAGTTCTGCCCCTCTTCCCACCTGTGTCCAGGCTGTGTCCCTGGTGCCACCTTGACTCTCCCCGTCTGCCACAGAGTCACAGCATCTCTCCTTCTGGGATAGGACCCTCAGGTCAGCTCTGGCCGTGTTCCCGGCCCTGGTCACTCCTCTAGCCGGCTCTCTTTCTGCCTCCACCCTCAATAGTCATGACTTTCAGTTCCTTCTCAGCCACGCCAACCTCCATGCTCTGCTCTGTGACCCACCTCCCCTCCGTCAGGCCGTCCCTGCAGACACTTCTGCTTCTGCTCAAGGAGTCCCCTTCCTGACCCGTCCTGTAGTTATGGTAGCTCCCTTCCCCGATGGGACCTGGCACCACCACGGGGCTTAGCACCTCCGCGTTCTTCAGTTTGTTCAGTTTGAGTGAGTGGTGCTAATTACAGACTCCTGGAAGACGTTGGCTTCATCTTGTCCCCCAAGACACTGATACGCTTACAAGCACATGAAATCTGGTGGTCGCTTAAATCCAGAGGACCTAATTCCCTTTTTGAAGAATTATTTTGGAAAATTAGAGGGCCAGTTCTTTTTCCTGGAAATTCATAACCTGGTAAAGGTGGAAATCGGTAGTTTAAAATTCTAATACTTTTACCATTCACCAGATGAGGATCATCTCAGGCTGGGCATTTTTTAATTCCCAGAATACTCAGGAAGGAGGAACTTGAGCCTAGATGTCCCCCTTGCCCTTAGCCTCCCTCTTCTTCCCTCCTTCCTGGGCACCTCTTGTGGGTGAGGCTCTCGGGTCACGCCGTGTCGCCGTGGGTGCTGGTGAACACGAGGGGGCTGTTGCTGAGCTTTCTTGCCCTGCAGGTACTGGACGAATTCTCCCAGCAGGTCGACAGGACAGAGTGGCCAGTCGGATGCCCTACTACCATCCACTATGCAGCCCTGGACGGTCACCTCAGTAGATACCAGGTAGAGTGCCTTGTGTAGACACCACGTGGCCCAGAACAACAGCTTGGTAGTTGTGGCTCTTGGTGACTTCCTGACAGCCTTGATGTCGATGTCCCTTTGGAAAATGCAGGGACCCGCATTAAGACCTGGAACCCGGCCAGCCCCCGTGGCCTAGTGGTTAAGTTCAGCACACTCCGCTTCAGTTCCTGGGCACAGACCTACACCACTCTTCGGTCAGTGGCTGTGCTGTGGCAGCAGCCCACATACAAAAAGAGGAAGATTGGCAGCAGATGTTAGCTGAGGGCGAATCTTCCAAGGCTAAAAAAAAAAAGACCTGGGAGCTGGGCTCCTGGGCAGGCTTTTGCTTCTCTGTTGTGTGTTTAAACAGCCTGTGGTTTTTACCTTGTGAAGGTGTGTCTGGCTGCTCAGTTTTGAGCTTTGTTTCTAGGTGGTCACTCTAGTCCTGACATTGTTCTTATTTTTGGCTCTTTCCTAGAACCCCCGAGAAGCTGACCCCATGAGTAAAGTGCAGGCTGAACTAGATGAGACCAAAATCATCCTGGTAAGCAAGAAGCTGGGAGGGCAAGGCCACAGCCTAGGGGCAGAAAGAGGGCCAGCGATCACACCTGCAGTCCATGCTCGTCTTAATCGTAGCCGAGACACTTTCCTGCAGGTGGTGTTTGCCTACCTCTCCCCATGCATCAGAGGCTTCAAAGCCAGACTCACGTAGACAACTCCCTGCCTGTCTGTGCCGTACCCCATCTTGGTTAATGGCACCCGTTGTACAAGGGGCCCAGCTGGGAGCCGACGTGGCCCTTGTTGCCCACTCCACTCCCTGTCTGGGCGGTTGCTGGGTTTGGATGACCTGAGCTCTGGAGCTGCCTCCCCGCCGCCAGCGCCTGCCTCAGCTTGTCTCAGAGCCCAAGGTGCCTCCCTTGCAGGGTCTGGGTCGCAGGGGGGCACTGAAGCACACTCTTTCTGGCTAAGTACAGGCCTGTTCTAGAAGAGCAGGAACCCTGCATTTTTACCTGAGATCTCCTGGTTTGTAACTGCTGCTTCAACAGTTTTTTTTGACTATGAGCTACCTTTTGGCACATGAGCAGCATCTGTTTTCACCTGGGGTTTGGTCTTTGTGGCCTCTGCCTCGTTTCCCACCCACTCCAGTCTGTCCACCAGACAAGAGCCGTTGATCTGTTACTCGTTGCTTAAAGTCCTTCAGCAGCTCTCGAATCAGCTTCGGGATGAAGAGCGGACTTCCTGACACGATCTCACAACTGGGCCCTGTCACCTCTCACAGCTTTCCTGCCCGGCTCCCACGCAAGCATCCCACACTCAGGCCTCCCAAGTACTTGGAGGCTACACCAGGCCCTTCTGAATGTCACTGCATTGTCACTACTTATTTATGTGTTCCCCTGACATGTTTATGTGAGAGCATAATCATTGATTGGCCACCTCCCCCAGCCCTGTTGTGGCTGCATCTGGATTATTGGTCACGCTGCTTCTCATCCCATCCGTATCTTAATCCAGTTAACTTTTTATGGGGGAAATCTGAGTTGCTCACATAAACATGTTTATGTGAGCTCCTAGGACTGGGAGCTTGTCTTATCTTTATGTCCCTGCTCGCAGTACAACACCTAACTTCCACCAGTGCCCAGCAGTTAATGGACCCTAAGTGAGAGGATATAAAGCCCAGATGCCCAGGAAACCGCGCCCCCCCACCCCCCCAAGATAAAATTCCTGCCAACACTGGCTCAGCTTTCGTGCACATTGGCGTCTCCTGGAGTTGAACTCTGGTCTGGGGCGGGAGTTCTACGTTCTGCAGTTCAGGCTGTGTCTATAGAGAGCATTCCAGGGGGCTCCTAACGTAGGTCTTCTGGCCCGTGCTCTGAATACCGTGGTGTTGGGGCTTTGGAATGGGAGTCAGCTGTGGAAGTCTCAGGCGTCTGCGTCTCTGTCTCTCGTCACGTGTTTCCCCGCGCTTTCTAACCAAGCCCGTCTCTTCCTCTGCTGCTTCAGCGTCTGAGTCTGTGAGCACCACAGAGCCAGGGGACACGCGTGCACTGTCCTAGCCTCTCTGCATTGCAGAGAGCAGATTGGCCACCTCCCCCAGCCCTGTTGTGGCTGCATCTGGATTATTGGTCACGCTGCTTCTCATCCCATCCGTATCTTAATCCAGTTAACTTTTTATGGGGGAAATCTGAGTTGCTCAGCTGTGTGTAGAGATAAAGGAGATTCTTGCTCGTTGCTCATTCTGTGCCATCTCACAGGTGCGCACTTGGGTTCGTGCTTCTTGCTCTGAAGAGGCCTCTGGAGGGCCCTGCTGCTGCTCCAGCAATGGCCATCTGGGGCAGAAGCGAGCCAGCCTCTTCCTGATGACCCTGGTAGCAGGGCCACGGGGTCTTCTAAGGGCTCTAGCCCGTCACCCCATCAAAAAGGGTCTGCGTGTGTGCTCATCCTCCCTAAGTGTGTAGATGCTTCTGCAGAGTATGTGGTAATGACATTTAAACTCAGTTCTCCTCTAGGGAAGGGGAAACTTTGTAGCTGATAGGAATACGTGTGTAAGTACAGATATAAGTATTCCCTCCTAGAGCATGGTTATCCAGGCCTGTGCTGTGGAGAAGCTTTTGGGAAGTGCTCTATCCCAGTTAGAACCTTCTAGATTCCACAGGAAGGTCACTAGATCCTGTTGCATCCACAAGTCTGGGATGCCATATCTTGATGCTCATGTATGGGGGAGGAGCCCAAAGGAAGTGCTGTCCGTGACTGAACTTCATGAGGGGTCATGTCAGCTCATTTTGTGAACAAAGCCTTTTTTCTTTTTCCTTTTGTCCAGCACAACACCATGGAGTCTTTGTTAGAGCGAGGAGAGAAGCTAGATGACCTGGTGTCCAAATCGGAAGTGCTGGGAACACAGTCTAAAGCCTTCTATAAAACGGTGGGTACCGGCCTGCTGCTCCCAGGCGCCCCCAGAGAGCAGTTGAGCATGCTCGTCCCTTGTGCCCTCTCCACTAAACAAATCTTTCTTAGAACAGTCAGTGACGTGCAGTGAGAGCAGAGGAGGGGTGCCCAGGCCTGGTCAGTAGTGGCGGATCCCATGGGCCCCATTGGAGGGAAAGCAAGCATAGACCTTGTCCCCCTGCTGCTAGGCTCCCCATCAAGAGGCAGAAGGTTGGTTCAGGTTCTGGTCCCCAGGGCTTCGCTTCACTCCTGCTGTCTGCTCAGCAGTTGGGTGTACAGCCTTCCTGGAGAGGTTCTCGTGCCTCCAGTTCGTTTCCCTGTGACAGAAGTATTTCACCTTTTGAACAGTGGTGGGGCTGAGTTTACTTGGTCTGTCCACACACGTTTGCTTTTGTTTATACCTTGGAGGGAGATGGCCAGTGGGGTTAGGGGGTATCTGAACAGGAAGCAAGAGAGAAGGTAATGGGCCTCAAAAACTGAGTGGGAACCGCTCTGTTCTCCAAAGACATCCTGAGTAAGAAACACCACCCACGGAGTCAGATGGGGAGGCGAGGGTGGGGCAAAGTAAGGTGCTCAGCTGATCCCACTTACGTTGCTGTCTCTTTCTACCTGGCTTAACAGCAGGGATTTACTCGCTATTGACAGTATTAATGGGGTGTGGATTGCTTCTAGACAGCTTCCCCAGGCGTTGAGGACAGGCGAGTTTTTTCTCTCTCTCCCCTCTTCGTGGTTCCCGTTCCTGTCCGACTCAGTGGTCTCGTTCCCAGAGCCCCTAGTAAAGCCACCCCGCTTCCCACGGAGGTCCCTGTGCTGTCCGTGCTGAGGTCAGGGCTGCCGGCCTTCTCAGCCCCCACTTCAGCTTCTCTTTGTCTCTTTCAAGGCCCGGAAACAAAACTCATGCTGTGCAATCATGTGACGGCAGCCATCAGAGGCCCCTGCACTGGAACATCACTGTCATTCACATCAGAACTGCAGCCTCCAGAGAAGCAGAGCCGCCATGGAAAGACCTGGAGTGGGGACAGACTCACATTTTTCACTTTGGAGCTTCTAGGAGGAGCCAAGGGGTGGTGGAAGGGATCTGGGGGTAGGGAACGTTCAAATTCACATGTCTAGCAATTTTTGAAAAGATCATTTGAGGCCCCTAAAGGTGTATTTTTGGGCCAAATGAAACTATAAACTCAGTGACTCCTGTAGCTGCTCAAGGGCTCGTCTCTAACCCCTGCACAGGCCCCCAGGAGGTCAGGGCCAGCTCGCTATTGATCCTCGTGTGCCTTTGGGTTTTATTTGTACATTAATGTATTAACACTCCAATAAGAGGGTGTGTTCCCTGATAACACACCTGGGGCGGGGCAGCACTCAGGCGGGGCTCTCTTGGGAAAGTCACTCAGGGCCGCTGGGGCTGGGGGCTGAGCAGGGCATGGGCCAGTACTTCAAGGCCGAGGCCTTGATGGGGAGGACAGTCATTGGGCTTCACAACTTCTGAGTGGTGTTTGCACTTCTGCTGAGGCTAGCTTCCTGCTGAGGGCAGGACTCATCTGGCAAGTTCCACAAAGATGCCCAGGAGGTGTTTGAAGTCGGGGGGCACCTGCCCTGACTTGCAGTTTGGCTTTGATCGTCTGGATCACAGTGTGTGCTGCAGTCTCTCAGGACCAGTTTTCATTTGCCTCTGGTAACAAGACTGACTTGGCAACCACCTGGGGCCTTGCATGTCTTAGCAAGTGGCCTTTTCTGTGGCCACTGTTAATGGGCACCAGGAGAAGGTGTCAGCTGGCCCGAGGACCCCCAACACCCTGCTTGTGGTCTGAGCCAGCAGCCCCCCAGCCCGACCCCAGTAGGAGCAGTGCTGAGCCCCCCAAGCAGCACGAAGGCCTATGGCCCTGAGGCCCAGCCCCGGACACAGGCATGCAGGGCAGCCCAAGTGATGGCCCATGAGGTTCCGGGCCCCTCTCCCACTGCCCGGTCCCTCAGGTCTTCCTGCCATGTCCACACATGCCCTGCTGTGCTTCCTGAGGACACGAGCTCGAGATGCGCCCTTGGAACCCTGTCCCCACAGAAGCTCATGCCAGGTTGGTGTCAGCTAGTGTAGTCTCGTCCTTGGGGGTCCTTCCTTGAGCACACTGGTTCTTGCCCTACCCGGGAGGTCCCACCGCCCCAACAGAAGTGCCAGCGCCCCTGTGTTCTCTTGCTGGGCCCAGAGGTGGGATCTGCGTGGCTTCCCAGGCCCTCACCTCTTAACAGGTTTACCTGCCCGCAGCCCTTTTGTTCTGGGCACTATGCCATCAGGATTTGGCCACCCCTACAGTAGGCTGCCCATGTGATTCTTCTGTTCTAGTTGACCCCCCACCCCAGAGGCGCAGACCTGGCCTGCTCACTGGCGCCTGAGATGGCTGCAACTTCCCTGACTGCTCCTTGGGAATGATTGGGCCACCTCTGACCTGACTCTCCTCCTCCCACTTTGGAGGACGCTGGGGAAGGGGGTAGAGGTGTGGACTGCGAGGAGGAGGGAGCGAGACCTCAGCACGTCCCCACGTCTGTCTGGCTGCCCTTCTGGCAGGGCAGCGAGGGTGGGGCTGGCTCAGGCCCTGTGCCTAGCATTTCCCCTGCTCTTACTGTATTCGAATGTTAAATCATTTGGCAAAGTGTGTTTTAATAACTTCTGCCTAACTTTTCTCTGTTCTGTTGGAGCAATTCCTGTCTGGATAAAGTTGTCTTTTGAAATTCCAGAATGGTTCTGTGCTTTGTTTGAGCCTCAGGAGGCCCCTTTCTTCAGGACCCCTGTCCGTCTGTGCTGTGCACCTGCAGTGCGGGGTCCGGGGTACCTGGGGGCAGTTCTTGTCCAGGGGAGGCAGCATCTACCTTAACTCCTCAGGCCCAAGCTGGAACCTCCTTTCAGACCTTTCTAGCAGGATCTGGGCGAGGGAGCCCCGGAGTACAGAGAAGCTCTGCTGTCGCTGAGTCCTGGGCCCTGGTTCTTGCTACAGCCGGGAAACCTGCCTGGAAAGCTGCCTTGCAGCCACGGAGCCGGGCCACACAGCTAAAGCCCCTCAGGAGCTGGGGCCAAGCGCTGCAGGCACGTGGGGGCATCCTGTGCTCCTCTGGATCCTTGCAGGCTGGGGAGTCTTGAGTCTTGACCTAGTTTAAGGAATGACCTCGGTGGCTGGTCAGTAGACAGTCTGTGAAGACTGTAGGGCCTGTAGCCCTGCATGCTGTGTCCCACCCCACGTGCACCAGGATGGGAGCGACAACATCCCGCCTCAGGGCTCAGGATCCACAATGGGGCATGGGGCCGGGCAGCGGTGTGTGCCTGATGGGAGGCCTGGCCTGGAATGGCTCCTCGGATTACAGCCCTAGATACCATGCCAGGACAGACTCCAAGCTGGCAGACTCTGTCCTAGATTCTCTGTGCCCAGCTCTGGGATCCGCATGGTGCTCCCTGGCGCAGCCCTCCCTCCCACTTACATCGGAGAGCATCTCCAGGTGCAGCCCACGGACTGAGAAGCTGACTTCAAGGGCCTCCTCGCCTGTGCAAAGGTGTCTGCCACCAGAAGCTGAGGCTAGAGAAGGAGGCCTGCCCTGTCCTAGTGGATGGGACTGAGAAGGCTCAAGGTGGCCCCTGGGCACCCATCTTATCAGAAGTCATTTGGACCCACGGACTGGGTGTGTTTGATGTCTAGGGCTGTTTTGAAGCCCACGGTTCTGTCCCAGGAAAGCACAAAGCATAAGGTACAGACAGGCAGTGGCAGGGCCTGGGGATCAGGCGTGGAGGGGAGGCTGCCCATCACGTGAGATCCGGGGTACTGGCAGGGCTGCCCAGGCCCTGTCTGGGAGGGAGAAGGGCCAAGAGACCTATGAAAGGGCCAGCAGAGCACAGGGTAGGCCCCAGCAGCCCTCACCTGTTTAGGCCTGAGTGTCTGCAGCCATGCGGTCAGGTGGTCTTAGAGCCAGGCAGCCATACAGCCATGTGGTCAGGTGATCAGGCAGATCAGATGGCCATGTGGTCAGGGGGGCCATGCAGTCAGGTGGCCACGTGGCCACGCAGATGTGTGGTCATGCAGCAATGTGGTCGTCGCTAACAGCCAGCACAGGCGGGGGGGCGGGGGGGGGGGGGCCTGTTCCCAAGGGAGGCCCTGGCAGGCTTTGTGGCTCCATGGTATAGGGGTACAGTGGGCAGCTGGGTGATGCCTCCCTCCTGAAGGACAGGCCAGGGGCACGGTGGGTGGGGCAGAGCCTGAGGACAGAAAAGGCCCAGGCAGGGGAAATCACAGGGTAAAAGGTTTGCTCCCGTGCTGGGGCCGAGCTGCAGAGGGATGGCCTGGTGGGGAGCACCTGGCTGTGCCGACCCTGGGCCTTGAGCCCTCCCTCCCCTCAGTCCAGGCGATCTTTGTACCTGGTGTCCCTCTGTTTCCCAGATCTAGAGGCTCTGGGCTGCTGTTTGAGCCTCCTCGGGGAGCCTTTCCGGGCCCCTGTTGTCATCGCCTGCCATGTCATCTTTTTGCATCCCAGCAGCCACTGCTCTGCTGTGCCTGACATGTTGCCGTCCGTGGTGGGCTGTGTGCTGTCTGTCTGCACAACCTAGTGTGTGGGCCCATGGATCAGGCCCAGGTGGCCATGGGCACCACACGCCCCAAGAATCTGTGGCCACACGGTGAGCGCAACGCGCAGGTGGAATGGACGGGTGGAAGGAGAGAGTCAACAGGACAGTCAGGGCTCAGTCCTGGGGCTCTTCCCACCAAAAACTGCCCACCCGGCCTCCTCTTTAAAGGCCACTGGGGTGACTGGAGAGCTAAGGGCGTTGGGGCTCAGGGGCTGGTTTTGGTTCCAGCATCCAGGGCCAACAGAGGAGCTGGGGGGACCAGAGGTGGGGGTGGGGGTGGCTGGTGGAGCTGTGGCCTGTGACCGCACAGAGCGGCCCAACCTGGGCACGCTGTCCACCCCAGCCGAGCTCAGGAAGATCTGGTCTGGGCCTTCTGCAGCCCAGGCCAGCTCGTGGCCCACGTAGTAGAGGAGGGCCAGCCTCTGGGGTCAGCAGGGACCTGGCATAAAGCATCAGCTGGACCTGAAGCAGTTTGTCCTGGTTTTCTTTTATTCGCAGTTTCCCGAGACAGAACAAAATAATTTTTGTACACTTACAAGGCTCAGAAAGAAAAGACAATGAAACTCAGCAAAAAGAGAGAAAAGGAAAGGCCGGCCAGCACCGCGGGCAGCTGACCCTGCAGGGCGGGCTGCTGCCGCCACACGCGGACATCTAGCTAGAAGAGCAGGTGTGGCTTGCTCGTGAGGGGGTCATGCAGAAGAACTATCCCGCAGAAAAAAATCCCCAAATTATCCCAGACAGGCAGCTTTGTGGAGATACCAGGAGGGGGAGAGAAAGGGAGGAGGCCCCAGGAGGGGAGGCTGGCCGGGCCACACGCTGTCTATGGTGAGCCCTGCCACTGCCTGAGGCCCAGGGAGCCCGGCAGATGTTTACCCTGTGTCCATGGGTGGGGACAGCTGTCCTGAGCACAGCTGTGGACAGGCAGGTGAGTGTCTGTCGATGGAGAGTCCCCTTGGAGATCAGCATCCTGTGTCCTGCCTCCCACTCCGTGCCCTCCCTTGGCTTGATTTGTGTGGGAAGATAAAGAAAATCCTTGTTGAAAACAATGTGAATTGAAGGGGGGCAGGTGTTGGGAGAGAGTCCCTGCACTTCCGGGGTCACGGCCCCTGGCCACCCCCAACCATAACCCAGCAGGCCGGGCCAGACCCATCCCCACCCTGGCCGACGGCCCTCGGCTCTCTCTGCGGCCATCTGACCACGCAGCCCGTCCCCGAGCATAGCCACAGTGCCCACCACCAGCATGCAGGGGGACCCCAAGGTGAACCTAGCCTGCTGTCTCCACATCTCAGGGTCCCCGTCATACACTGTAGCCTCCTCGAGTCCAGTGCAGCCCTCTTTCCCTTCTGCTCCAGGCCCAGACTCCGAAAGCAAATACCTGCCTGGACCCCCACCTCAGCCGGGAGCCGGGGAGCCACTCATCCACCTTCTGACTCCTCTCTCCTTCCTGTGTCATGACCAAGCCCAGAGCCCTGGGGACTTGAGGCCCACGCCCCTCTGTGGCCTCACAGGTGGGGGGAGGGCAGGCAGAAAGGGAGAGGCACCCTGAACAGGAGGGAGGCCAACCCAGGGGTCCCCTCCCCACAGGCTGCAGCCAATGGT